ATCTCTGGGTTTAATGTATTATATTTATTTGGGGATAACAAAAAAAATAAAGGGTTGGAAATGGCTAAGGCTGTGCCTGTGGACCCGACGGGGGCTTCCCATTCACTGTCCGTGGTGCAGGTACTAGGGTCCTGTCCCTGTCATCTGATGCCACATCTGCCTTATTCAAGTGCAGAGCAGCTTCCCCAGATGGCCTACATATCTAGCAGCCCCTTAACGGGGGTGTACCAACATGGGGGGGCCACAGTTGAGATCTGCGATCACAGGTCTTTGAAGTCGATACATGTGTCCTTTTGGGAGTTGGGGATTGAACCTAAGGCCCCCACATTTGCTAGGCAAGCTCCCTACCGCAGAGCTACAGCCCCAGTCTTTTTACATTTTACTATTTTTTTTATTTGAAAATTTATATTTATTTATTTCGCACACACAGTTGGGGTTCCACTATGAAGCTACGGCTATCCTGGAACTTGCTATATAGACCAGGCGGGCCTTGAACTCACTGAGATGTATCTGCCTCTACCTCTCCAGGGCTGGGATTAAAGGTGTGGGCCACCGTTAGTCAGATTTAATATTTAGATCTCTAATTTCTTTTCTGCTGTGAGATAGGGTCTCACTAGGTCGCCTGCTGGCCTTGAACTCACCCAGTAAAGCCCTAGTAGGACCTAGAAGTTGTGTTCCCACCTCAGCCCCCTGAGGAGCTGGGGTGACAGGACTGCACCACCAGGCTCAGAAAGTGGCTCACAAAGGGAGAGAGGAAGCCAAAACTCATTCTGTTTACCACAGAAGAAACTGGTGTGGGGAGCATCGAGTGAGAACCAAGCTGTGCTCTTCATTCTCTTACTCCTGAAGGCTCCATGAAGGCAGATTCTAGGCACCCCGCCCCCCTGGGACATCTCTGTATGTAAATTTTTGTTTTAGATTTGTTTCTTTTTTAATGTGTATGAATGAGTGTTTTGCCTGCATGTACGGATGTACTGTGTCCTCAGAGGTCAAAACAGGGCATTGACTCCCCTGGAACTCAAGTTCTGGGTGGTTGCAAGCCATCGTGTGAGTGCTGGGAACCGAACCTGGGTCCTTTGCAAGAGCAGCAAATGTTCCTAACCGCTGAGACGTCTTTCCAGCCCCGGATCTTCAGGCTTATACACAGCTTGCTGTCCCTCCTAGAACCCACAGCGGCCGCCGTCTCGGCTACCATCAGCGGGGTTGGAAGCAACCAGCTGTGTGCCCCCCAAACCCTGGGCTGAGGCCAAAGGGAAGGAAGGCTGTCAAATCTAGAAGGATCTTTGGAAGGTCACATGCCAAGTTGTGGGGTGGAAAGATAGGATGAAAGCTGTAACAAAAAGCTGTGTTATCTGGCAGCTCCCTCTTCTCACACCTGCAAATTAGGCAGAACAGCTTGGCGTTAAGGAGTAAGTTCACTAGAATAAAAGGCTGCTCTGTCTCCACCACACAGGTCTTGTAGGGCTGTGAGGAGGTGGCCCCTGTCCACTCCTAAAACCCATCCTCCCCAGCTGCCTCCTCCCAGTTCCCACCAGGGCCACTGGAACTGTGGAAGGTTTATTTTCTGCACAAGGAATTTCACAGCTCAGGAGGTGCTGGCGCAAAAGCTGAGACCGCAAAGGTGTCTGGTGTCCCTGGCTACTTGCCACTACGTCCTGGTCCTGGACCTGCCCCACGCTGTGGCTTCTCTGGGACCTTATTCCAAACAGAACTGGAAGCTAGGACTGGGCCAGCCATGCCCTGCCAAGAGCCCCCACCTTGGTCCTGGTGGTTCAGAGCCCTATAAATGGGCCGAGCAGAGGTCAAGGTGCAGGGGACCAGTTGGAACACAGGACAGTATCCACACCCTGGGGAAGGCCCAGGCAGCAAACAGACCAGTCACATAAAAGAATACCAACCAGCATGGTGTGGTGGTGCACACGGAAGCAGGAAGACCACCAGGTAGAAGCTAGCCTGGGCTACATAGTGAGATCTTGTCCCTAAAAAACAAAGGACGCTGGTGAGATGGCTTAGCAGTTAAGGGTGCTGGCCACCAGGCCTAATGACCTAAGTTCAACACACAGGGCCCACACATAGTGAAGATGAGGACCAGCTCCCC